TACAGGCCCTCCAATGAATCATCTCGGCTACAGGACCTCCAATGGATCATCCCGTCCACAGACCCCCAATGCATCATCCCGTCCACAGACCCCAATGCATCATCCCGTCCACAGACCCCCAATGGATCATCCCACCCACAGGACCCCCAATGGATCATCCCGCCCACAGGGCTTCCAATGGATCATCCCGCCCACAGGACCCCCAATGGATCATCCCGGCTACAGGACCTCCAATGGATCATCCCGTCCACAGGACCTCCAATGGATCATCCCGTCCACATGACCCCCAATGGATCATCCCACCCACAGGACCTCCAATGGATCATCCCGGCTACAGGACCTTCAATGGATCATCCCACCCACAGGACCTCCAATGGATCATCCCGGCTACAGGACCTTCAATGGATCATCCCACCCACAGGACCTCCAATGGATCATCCCGGCTACAGGACCTTCAATGGATCATCCCATCCACAGGACCCCCAATGGATTGTCCCACCCACAGGACCCCCAATGGATCATCTCATCCACAGGACCCCCAATGGATCATTCCCAGCCAATTAGCCTCAATACAGCTTCCCGTCAGGAGGCGGGTAAATATGGAGAACCACGCCCCTCAGGAAGCCCGTGCTACAGGGTGACAACGTGTTTAGGGAAACACACGTGGACTTCTCCTTGTACCTTGCCGGATGATACGGTGTTCTTTATCTACGTTGGAACTCATCTATGGGATCTGAACCTGTCAGCTGCTGAGCCATGTATACAGGTGGCCCCGCCCACATCATCTGAAGTAAGCGGAGCTCTGCCATCTTCCTATCAAGCTATATCTACGTCTTCTGTGAACTACAAACCTGATCCCTACCACCTGAGGACGGCTTCCTGCGATCCCCGCGTGTGAGACTGGTGGTCCCTCTCCCTCGCTCCTGTCCTCCTTTTGGTCCTCTCTCTATGTCCGGCTCCCTCTTCCATGCCTGATGTTTAGAGACTGGTGGTCCCTCTCCCTTCCTCCTGTCCTCTTTCTGGTCCTCTCTCTATGTCCGGCTCCCTCTTCCATGCCTGATGTTTAGAGACTAAAAGGAGCTCTGAGAAGACGGGGGATGGGCTTGGCTCCTTCTCTCACATGGCCGCTTGTTTACATGCTGCAGTTCTGGAGCCTCCGATGGGGGGATTTCCTGCAATTTACTTTCTCACAGCAGCTCGGAGGACTTTCCACCTTCCAGTTGTGCAGGAAAGGCCGGTGAACTCTGGACACGGGTCATGGTTGTGACATGCCACGTGTTGGTTCTAGAGTGTGGACCCCGGTAATCTGCAGTCATCCCGTGTAGCCACCCGGACACTCTCGTGTGATCTACATACAGGAACGTGTAGCTGCTCGGACACTCTCGTGTGATCTACATACAGGAACCTGTAGCTGAGGACACTCTCGTGTGATCTACATACAGGAACCTGTAGCTGAGGACACTCTCGTGTGATCTACATACAGGAACCTGTAGCTGAGGACACTCTCGTGTGATCTACATACAGGAACCTGTAGCTGAGGACACTCTCGTGTGATCTACATACAGGAACCTGTAGCTGAGGACACTCTCGTGTGATCTACATACAGGAACCTGTAGCTGAGGACACTCTCGTGTGATCTACATACAGGAACCTGTAGCTGAGGACACTCTCGTGTGATCTACATACAGGAACCTGTAGCTGAGGACACTCTCGTGTGATCTACATACAGGAACCTGTAGCTGAGGACACTCTCGTGTGATCTACATACAGGAACCTGTAGCTGAGGACACTCTCGTGTGATCTACATACAGGAACCTGTAGCTGAGGACACTCTCGTGTGATCTACATACAGGAACCTGTAGCTGAGGACACTCTCGTGTGATCTACATACAGGAACCTGTAGCTGAGGACACTCTCGTGTGATCTACATACAGGAACCTGTAGCTGAGGACACTCTCGTGTGATCTACATACAGGAACCTGTAGCTGAGGACACTCTCGTGTGATCTACATACAGGAACCTGTAGCTGAGGACACTCTCGTGTGATCTACATACAGGAACCTGTAGCTGAGGACACTCTCGTGTGATCTACATACAGGAACCTGTAGCTGAGGACACTCTCGTGTGATCTACATACAGGAACCTGTAGCTGAGGACACTCTCGTGTGATCTACATACAGGAACCTGTAGCTGAGGACACTCTCGTGTGATCTACATACAGGAACCTGTAGCTGAGGACACTCTCGTGTGATCTACATACAGGAACCTGTAGCTGAGGACACTCTCGTGTGATCTACATACAGGAACCTGTAGCTGAGGACACTCTCGTGTGATCTACATACAGGAACCTGTAGCTGAGGACACTCTCGTGTGATCTACATACAGGAACCTGTAGCTGAGGACACTCTCGTGTGATCTACATACAGGAACCTGTAGCTGAGGACACTCTCGTGTGATCTACATACAGGAACCTGTAGCTGAGGACACTCTCGTGTGATCTACATACAGGAACCTGTAGCTGAGGACACTCTCGTGTGATCTACATACAGGAACCTGTAGCTGAGGACACTCTCGTGTGATCTACATACAGGAACCTGTAGCTGAGGACACTCTCGTGTGATCTACATACAGGAACCTGTAGCTGAGGACACTCTCGTGTGATCTACATACAGGAACCTGTAGCTGAGGACACTCTCGTGTGATCTACATACAGGAACCTGTAGCTGAGGACACTCTCGTGTGATCTACATACAGGAACCTGTAGCTGAGGACACTCTCGTGTGATCTACATACAGGAACCTGTAGCTGAGGACACTCTCGTGTGATCTACATACAGGAACCTGTAGCTGAGGACACTCTCGTGTGATCTACATACAGGAACCTGTAGCTGAGGACACTCTCGTGTGATCTACATACAGGAACCTGTAGCTGAGGACACTCTCGTGTGATCTACATACAGGAACCTGTAGCTGAGGACACTCTCGTGTGATCTACATACAGGAACCTGTAGCTGAGGACACTCTCGTGTGATCTACATACAGGAACCTGTAGCTGAGGACACTCTCGTGTGATCTACATACAGGAACCTGTAGCTGAGGACACTCTCGTGTGATCTACATACAGGAACCTGTAGCTGAGGACACTCTCGTGTGATCTACATACAGGAACCTGTAGCTGAGGACACTCTCGTGTGATCTACATACAGGAACCTGTAGCTGAGGACACTCTCGTGTGATCTACATACAGGAACCTGTAGCTGAGGACACTCTCGTGTGATCTACATACAGGAACCTGTAGCTGAGGACACTCTCGTGTGATCTACATACAGGAACCTGTAGCTGAGGACACTCTCGTGTGATCTACATACAGGAACCTGTAGCTGAGGACACTCTCGTGTGGTCTACATACATGAACGTGTCGCTGAGGACACTCCCCTCACGATGAGGCGGGCCGGGTGTCTGAAGGCTCTTTTCTGTCTCTTCATCTTCTTCTCCTTGCTCCTGCTCTGGAATTGGGGGTCCCAAGTCCTGGAAGAGGGACGGCGGTTTTGGCTTTCGGACTTTGCGCCGCCTGGAAGGAAAGGCGTTGATTTCCCGTCGCTCTTCTCCACGGATCTTCCAGAACCGAAATGCCGGACGGATCTGCTCCTCCTCATCTTGGTGACCACGCACCCCGGCCATCGGGACTCCCGGAACGCCATACGGAAGACGTGGGCCTCTCCAAGCACGGGGACCTCCGGCCGATGGCGGGCGGTCTTCCTGGTCGGACGCACGTTGGACGTAGAGCTGGACTGGCACATCCACCATGAGCAGAAGATGAACGCCGACATCCTCATGGGGGACTACCGGGACTCCTACCGAAACCTGACGCTGAAAGTCATGCACGGCATGAAGTGGGCGGTGGAGCGGTGCCGGCCGCGGTACATCCTGAAAACCGACGACGACTGCTTCGTGAACACGCATTATCTTCCGTCCTTCCTCAGGGACCGCCTTCCGGGCACCGCCCACCTCTACGTGGGCGCGGTCTTCCCCGAGCAGAAGAGGGCGGTGATTCGGGATC